TAATTTTAGTTCTTCTCTCTTGTTTAATAGAGTTTAAATGTGGGGACAAATCTTTTAGTATTTTTTTTAAGAGTATGTGGTTTATAATAAAAGATGGGATTCTGAGGCTGATTTACTTATTTTATTTCATTATTATTATTTTTAAACTCAATGCTCTGAGTAACAATATGCTAATTGAAGGCTAAACAATTGCCTGTTTTCAAAATTTGTTGTAGATCCTGGAACCTGAAACCCAGAGCTAACTGCTGAGTTCTGGCAAATCCCTCTAAATCTTCCAATCAGCAAAGGCCATTCGGGAAGCCCCGGATTTTCGTGGTTTCAGAGACAGGTCTCGACAGGACACATACTTCTGCATCCCTGAGCCCACCTGCGTTATCGTTACAGCCCAAGTTTTCCTGCAATAACTGAAATTCCTCAGTATCACTATTGCATTGAACTAAACAAGTTCAAATTTAGAACCTGTTCAGGTTTGCTCTTTTTGAGCTTAAAGTCTTATATCTCAAATAGCAGGAAACCTTTTGAAGAACTATTCTGGCCATAGAACTAAAGTCAAATAGGAATTCTAGTGATGGCTCTTAGATAAAGAGGAGGAAGTAAGAAGTTCCTCTGAAGTTGTGACTGTGGCAACAGCTTCTAAGAAAGTGGTTCAGAATAATTTGTGGGGTATTTTGATTGACCCTGCTAATATTTCAATGTTAGATATGAGCAAAAATATTGAACTTTGGGGCCATGAATAACAAGATAATTACTGACTCAATAAATCAGATTTCAAAGATGTTATCAGGAAAGNCCCCCCCACTCCCCCCAACCCCCCAGTAATTAATTGCCTTTTTTGCTACCTTAGCTAGTTTTCAGTCCTTTCTCCTGATTCCCCTCTGATCACAGAATTCAAAACATCTTGGCCAGGGAAACCATCGAAGTAAATGGCATGCCTCAAGTTTTTCTGGTGGATTTCCAAGGAGGTTGGCAAATTTTATTAGGATATTGTTCATTGTGTTTTACAAGTATTACATACAACAATTTACAACATGACTTGCTTCCTATGCAGGCACCTGGGGTTGGGGAACAGTGTCATAAGTAAAGCAGTAGTGCTTTCAAAGTAAGTGTAATAACTAGGATGTGGATACTTAAAATTTTTCCCTTTGCTAATACTTGCAATTTTCTTAGATGTCTTCTCTGTGACTTTTATAAAAAAAAAAATTTAATTCTCTACAATACAGACTCACTTCAGGATGCTGGTATACACCTCTGACCCTCTGAAGAGTTACAGCCAACTTTAAAACGTTCAGTGCAGTTTAATATAAAAGAGTGATTTACAATAATAACCACAGACCTATGTTAAGACATTAGAAAGAAATTGATGGGTTCAAGATCTTTGCAGAGTATTTATCAACAAATCAGTGCCATTTATCTCATCTGTTTTCAGCTGCCTCAATCTTACAGGTATGTCAACAATTCAGAATTCTCCAGGGCCCTGGAGCTAACAGCAGTTAACACCAGGGTGTTTCTTCCCAGAATTTGTGTTGATACAGGATTCTTTGCAGGTCAGCACTGTTTCAACAATTGTTTGTCTGTTTCAATTTTAGAGACATGATAGTAATACAGAAATAATAAAAAACAATATTCACAACCACCAAGAGCCCCCAGACCTTTTCAAAGAACTTTAATTAAACAGCATAAACCATCTGCCCCTGGTAATTGTTCCACGGAGTGTTAATGTTAAATTCCTTTGAGGCCGATTACGTTTTTGAGTCTCAGAAAGCTGAGGCTTTAAAGTAAGTAGGTGTTGTTTGCTGCCTTATCTTTCTGCCTGACTTGCACTTCTGTGTAGGCTGCTGAGTGCATTTCAGCTTGCCGGGAAGCTCCTGTAGTAATCAAAATATTTCAAGCACTTTGTTCTTTAGTTGGAAGAGCCACTCAACCAGTTGCCCTAAACATTAGAGCAGAAACACCATGACAATGCCCTTCGCTGTACCATATCAATTCTGTGAACTATGAAATATTCCTGTTATTCCCTCCTAGAACGCTCTTCCTCTAATCACTTCCCTAAATCCAATCCTATTTGATTTGGGGGATCTAAAATCCCAATTCCTCCAAGAAGCTTTTCAAAATTCCATTCAGCTAGTGGTCTAACTCATCCTCCTAAACTCCATAATGTGTTAGCTGTTCTTTTGGGTCGCTTACCACTTTTTATTTGATAATGCATCTTTTAGAGAGAGAGGTTTCCTTCTTCTGACTTTAAACTTCTTGCTTTAAAGCAACCAGAGTCTGTGTTTAATTCAGCACCTGCGCGAACAGACTCTTTTGATAGCCCTTGAATTTACCAAGCAACATGAATTCACCATGTTGTAGAGAGGACAGATCATGTGTGGGTTTGGGACTGTGTCCAATAAATGTTGAGGGACAAACGCCTTCTTCATGTGTGAAACGGATCCTTGTATCTATCTCATGTAATTGTCTTACGGATATAACAAAATGCAAACATATTCTTGAACAGGTTAGGGGCATAGTAGATGCTCAGCAATACTCCCTTCTGTTCATTCAAGTAATGGCTGGTTGCTCTTTCTAGCTAGCCATTCTCAGGGGTTAAGAAAGAATATCTAATGTGCATTCTTTGCATCCCCCAAGCAGAAGAATCTAGTTTGGTTTCAGTTTAGCACTGGACCTGCACAGAGTAAAGAGGTGGAATGACTCCACTGGTCAAAAAGTTGCCACACTTGTTCTGGAGTCATCTGTCAGACTCCTAAACAGTAAATATGGATTCTTTTTTTCCCATGCACTGTGGTAGTTCTGTGTTATCTAGACCTCCCACTCTCTCAGAACCACCTCAATTTTATTTAGAGGAAAATGGGATGGGGCCATAAAGAGGCTTAAGGTCCAATAAAAATCCTACTTTGTACTAATAATCTAGAAGCTTAACAATGTAACTGAGGAGTGGTTTAAAAACTCAGGCTTGAGAGGTTCAGTATCAGTTCTGCTACTTACTATATGTGGGAACTTGAGTGTTACGTAACTGCTTAGTTTCCTCATCTGTAAAATGGGGATTAAAAGACTTATCTAACAAGTTGTTTTGGAAACATAAATAACATAATGAATGCAAACCACAATTCTTGGCACATAGTATGCACTCCATTATATTAATTAACTATAATCATTAAACATCTCTCTACCTTTCAAATATGTAAACACTGAAACTTTAGGATTCTTTTACACAAGTTGAAAACAATAAAGCCTCCCCCGCAGATCTGCTGTTTTTAAATCTCTAGTCTGGTCTTTTTTCTTTTTCCTCATGGGTTCTCCATTTGCTATTGCCCAATTACTTCCTAGAGAAACAGTTCAACATTGCAGGAAACAAAC